ATGCATGTGAATGCTAATCATTGCCCAAATCATTGCCTATCATATCCGACTCAATACGTACCAAACCCGAAACATCGGACATCAGACATCGGGCATCGGGTTTCGCATCGGCCAATCGGACATCGCGCGCACTTGTCCTACCTATGTCCAGTCTCATTGCGCTAGCCCCACTAGGTGCCTAGTTATTGTTTTCACATTGCTAACATTGTCGACCGCGTTATTACATGTATTCCCATAGTCCGCAGTACATCATGTCTTATTACATAGGACATCAGACCTGAAATATTGTGCTACTACTTTCGCCTATAGGGTTCCGGATTTCTATGTATCTGCTTAAATATTGGACTACCCATAGCATCATCATCATCCGAGTAGAGGAGAATCATCTCCGACGCTTAGGGGTCAACCCGATATTTTGTAGTTCTTAGTTGACATTGCGAATATCATCGTTCCTTCACCGTCTGTATCCATCATTGTTATTATTGCACACATCGCTCGCTATAGCGTTACTATTACTTTCCGATAACCCAAACCCGATAACCCGAAACCTGAAAAACATCGGACCCGACACTTTTGCATCGGACATCGTAATTATACCTTCAGACATTGTTTCCCGTGCTCAGATTATTGACCTCACATCACCCACTGACCCCCAAAAACTATTCCCAGACCGCAGACCCCTGGGTCGAATGCACTTGTCCGCAAGTATAGCAGATAGGCAGTGCAAGACCACAACATAAAGATATCAGTTTGGAGCCATCTTTGTATAGCCCCACTCTGTGTTGTATACCTACATTGGTATGGTAATAGGTAGGAGGCTAGTCTGAAAGCTCAAGATGCGTCAATAAAGTGACGAGAACTATTTAGTAGAGATGGTATGACAAGAGGAACGGCGAACATCTTGCCCATTTAAATCAGCCTTCTGATCTTTTCCCCGACGTCCCTTGTTGGACTTCATAGTGACAGCCACTGAGCTTTCAATAGCTGGCTTCAGATGGGGTGCTGCTGTCACTGTAGCAGCTAAGGCAGACTCTGAACTTGTAGCACTTGATCCAGGATTGAGTACCGCACCCTGAGTTGAGATTGATGGCATGACATCAGAAGGCAGGGGGGGTTCATGTTGCAGGGGAGAAGCTACCGCAACAGTATTTGAGCCTGAGGATGCAGTCAAAGAACTTGGTTCAACAATGGTAGGATAGTGCACATGAAGGCTGTCAGGGCCAATGGGGTCTTCATCCAAACTGCTATCTGAATTGTCCAATGCTGCCATGACACAATCAACCATGTCTTTAGGCTGGCCTGAGGTATAGTCCTCCTCTGCCTGAGCAACATTGTTGAAGACATAAGTGTTGATTTGTCCCACGATGGCTTTGATGCGTTCATGGGTCCACTTGACGATGAAGAATCTTTTCACGGCACGGAAGACAGTGTGGTAAGGGATTGAAGAAATGGCTCCAATACCATCCCCGGAGAATTCTTGATCTGGGGATAGCATGAAGATTATCTACTGAATACGATGTGTGTGAGGAATGATAGCTAGATGAGAAGGGGTGAAAGGGTGAGAAAGGGTGAAGTGGGGTAAAACTCACATAGACCTCTGGACGCAAGTATAGATTCGGCCCGAGGGGATTGCTACTGAGAATGATTCCTCTGAATAAAATGTGAGGGGAAACTTGGAAACTAGTAAGGGTAACTGAGGATGAAAGAGCGCGAGAATTTGCGCCAATGCGATGCGAGCGTGAGTGAGCCGCCGAAAAGCGCATTACGATGTGTGGCCGTATAGCCGAGAGTTTGGTGGGGCGCAGAAGCGTGCGGCCGAGCTAAATGATAAATGCGAAGGTTTTGCGAGTGCATAAGTGATGCGGTGCGGCGGCGGAGCGAGGAGAATGTTTGTCGATAGAAATGATAAGTAAAATGTGAGCGTTAACACGGCCGTAGGAGGCGCGCGTGCGGTAGTATGCCGAAGGTTTTAGATTTTCAGTCCAAGTGTTGCGTGCAAGTTGGTGATAATTTTGATGCAGGAAAAGATAGATACATGAAGATTCATAAGTACTAAGTACATATATATGAGAGCGCACGAAGCACTGTTTGGAGCCAAGTAGGTAGCGGTAGTATGGAAACAGGGTCCATAATGCAAGTAATGAAAATATAAATGAGATAGTGTCGGAAATAAAGTCAGTCTAATGCAGATTGAGATAAGTACGCACCAATGGACCGGCGGAGGACATGGATATGACATGGGAAGGACGCACGATGGAGCTGAAGGGAAGCGGATGCGAGCCGAAGTGCGCACGTGAGTCGTGGCCGTTGGCCGATAACGGAAATGGTGCGTGCCGCATTAGCTATAATGCGCGCTATGTGAGGACCTAAGGGACACTGCAAAAATGGCCTCTACAAGGCTACAAGGACTCCAAGTCCTACAACGATATCAGTCATAGGTAGTGCCTCTGAATCATTGACATCAATACATACAGAAGTCACACCAAATGAAATCATACCAGGAGTGCAGCTGTTGGGTTTCCAAATCTTCGCATAGGTAGGCTGGCCACCACACCCCTTGGGGAACAATGACATCTTGCCGCACACTGAAACCTTGATAGCCTTTCAAAGAAAGATATGAGTAATTGTCCTATGGTTGAGTCAGTGTATTTTACCTTTGTGATTATCAACCAGTTTCTGAAAATCTTTTTCTCGTTAACAATGTTATCAGGGTACAGTACCGGTGCTTTGAAAACATCGAAGGTTTTCCCCTTCCCCGCCTCCCATCCAATCATATCTGTAATTTGCTGGATGGAAGCACGGTTATATCTGGCAACAAAGTACTCAGGTGACATGTTGAAGATGCTACCTGAAACAGTACATAGACCATTGAAGAATGATGATCGTGCCTGTTGCATGCCTGTTGCAAACTGTTCCATAAATCGTCAACTCATTTACAACTATGTAAAATTTTAAGTTACATACCAAGTTAAAGAATGAATTTGTTCGCATTTGAGGATGCAACTCTTGATCGATTGAGGCATAGAGCTCAGTGACAAGGGCAGCCTTCTCTGTCAATTTCTTTGCATAATGTTGCGGACTTGTTATATCAACCAGAGGATCAGGGCAGTCTGTCTGAAAAATGACCTTGTCAGGCAGGAACATCTCCATCGTCAATGCATACTTCTTGGCCAAACCCAAGATTAGTTTGTCGATGATGGTCTCAGACATTATGATGGACGCTGTAGTCAATGGCGCAGATGAAGGTGGCGCAGATGAACACGAGGATGTGGTAGATGAAGGTGGTGCAGATGAATGTAAGGACACAGTAGATGAGGCCGGCAATGCAGCAGCAGGGTGATGTCTGATTTGGTGAGCACCTGCAACGTTTCAACTGCTGCGCTGCTAGTGTACCATTGGTTGCATTCAGCGCTGTGTTATGCTCTTCCAACTTTCCTTTCTCAAGCTGAAGTTGCTTGATGTACTAGATAAAATGAGTCAGGGAATGGACGAGAGTTGACGAAAGAAACAAGAGCCTACCGCTTGAAGGTGCTTTGTAGACGAATTGGTGCTTGGTGGTGCCACAGGCTGTGGGGCGTCATCATCTGAATCATGCCCTGAATCTGACCATGACAATGTGTTATCGGAATTGTCGAGGTTTGAATCAGAGTCCAGTGGAGAGTCCAACATGAGCTATATGCAAAGAGAGAAATGTGTGATGTGTGAGCAGCCCAGATGCTGAATGAACAAATGAATCATGAGGTCTTTATATACATTTTCCGGGCAACCCTAAACAGTTTAGAATCAATCTGTGGTATTACTAGTGAATGAGATAATGATAGACACGAGTTGATTCAATAATAACATACATAATACGATTTGACGCAATCACTTCAGTACACAAGTCATTATTAGTGAAATGGATCATGGAAGCTGTGACCTTGAGAAGAAATGCTGGATGAAAGATGCATGTCCAAACATGAGGCAACACTGTTATGACACACTTGTGTCAGTAATATCAACTATGCAGCTTGATGACCTACTTAATGCATGTTATACCTAATAATATAGTGCGTATTGCAAGCCGAGGATCACAAAAAAGATAAGTTCTTTACTCAGGCCGCCGCCAAAGTGTCAGGCAAGTTAAGCTTGCAGAGACTTGAGCCGAAGAAACATGTCTGCATCAACTGTGTCAATGACGAAGTAATCACCTTGTTTCCCAGGATCGCTGGCAAGCGCAGCCCCTCGGATAATTGACCTTACAGAGATGAATTTGGGAGATGACTGAGGTTTGGCTCGTACATGCCATAGTCCCAGGTCAGTATCATGTTTTCTACGGACACCAATTCCAACATCATATGGATGTATGAGCGCCAGTGAAAGATTGGTTTCACCAATTGAGCAACCGAACATGAAGATAAGGCGAGCAAAAAATGGTTGATTGTTGGTTTGAACCATAACACAATCATATCGTGGAGATCCAAAGAACTTGGGGTTGCATCAAAGGAGGTCTTTGCACTGGCGCCAGTTGACCATAGACTCGTAGTTGACTTGCAGATATTTGTATCCAGTAATCTAAATATCATGTTGTGAAGCACAATTTTAGCGAGTAGTTAGCAGGATGAGTTGTTGGCATACCTTGTTGTCAGCCTGCAAATGAATGCGCTTGTCATCTGGTAAAGGAATGTCATTACTGGGGAAGAATGTGTTCAGGAAGGCGTTGAGTTTGATTCAAAAACCAACAAAGGCCCTGTCATCTGCATGCGACTGCTCGAGACTTGCAAATGAGATGTCACCTTGCGCCAAGCCTAACTTTATGTGGGTGCAGGGAGCTGGAGCCACAGAAATTGCAGGATTTTCTGTGTCTGCGTCTTCTGTTGTTGGGAGGTTGGCTTTCCAATTGTACTTGTCCAACTCGTCGAGTTCAGAACGCATTGATGTTGAGGTTAGTAGCCAATGATCATAGCGAAGAATCTGAACCAGTTCTTATTAGTTCATGTTAATCCAGTCCTGTTGACACACGAACCTGTGTAGCAATGTCCTTGAAATTTGTTTGATTGCGGTAGATGTCCCTCACAGGGCCGTGCATCTTCTCGTTTGGTTTTGTGTTGTAGTTTTGTGTTGTGCCTTTTGCTAAGATATCATCAAATAGATGCGAACTTGCATGTTTCTTGGGGAAATTCCAGTCCTTGCCTGTTACAGGCTGTGATTTGACAATATACTCCTAATCACAGATCATAGGTGAATGGTCGGGAAGTATTGCGAAGCATAACTTGCCTCCATCAGCACTGAAAATCTCTGCAGAGCTTGTCTTCCTGCAGAAATTGTATCTTCAGTGTGAACCTCAAATCCAGTGTAAATGTCGGGATTGATATAGTGGTGTATGCATCGCAGAAGCAGATAGCCGAGCTTACTCTGTGAATGGCGGAGGATCCTTTGCGCCGCAAAGATAGCCATCTGAGTCTCATTAGCACAGAATTCAGCTTCAGTTGCAGCTTACCTTCAATATGTCCTCGTGATGTGAAGTATCATTGAAATTGACCACAACTACCTTCAAAAAGAGCGTCAGGTTAGACCACCGTGGAAAAGCATCATAATTCGCATCCATCTGCACAACAGCTTCTCGCCCTAATTCAAGTATCCAGAACTGAAGCTCCCTCCATAAATGGTGCCTCCAAAGCCCTCCATGATACACATGCATGCGATCAAAGGAGAGTGCTCAGTGAATGTCAGTGAGCAGCATTCTCCAGAAGACATTCTGAAAATCATGTCTGTCAGTGTAATATACACAAAAGACCTTGCAAACCATACTTCAACATCACGCAGCGAGTAAGTTTTGAGTAATTTTTCCCTCTCCTTCTTGGATGTCTTCGCACGGGCCAACTGAAGGGCCTCCTCAGACTCAGCACTTGTCTGTAATCGAAGTTCATGAGACAAGACGGATTGCTCGTCTTGAGGGACCAAGCAGATCGGACATGGAAATTTACTTTTCAGTCCACAAATCAATGCCATTACACATCTATCACATGGCATCAGCAATATCACAGCAAACTTGAGCGTTGTAAGACTCACTGTTCTTCATAGTCGGCACTCAGAATCAAAATCAAGGGCCAAAGCAGGCGCTGGATGGCATCACCACACTCAAACAAATATCCTGTCCTTGAGATCTGTATGACGGACTCTAGAAGTTTCAAAAAGGACTCATGCCAAACGGCATTCTTGAAGTCCACAAAGCTGCTTTTTCCTGCATGCTCTGGATCCTCTGGCACCTGCTCTGACATCAGCATGTGTATGAAGTAAAACTAAATACTAACAATAGGCAGCCAACCTACAATTCAGCCGCCACCAAGACCAGTACAATTCCAGATTTCGACAGGCAGGTTTAGATAAAAGCCAGTGGCTTTGCCTCAGGTGGAAGTTGTGACTACACAATGCGCAGTTGCATGTCATTGGGCATACAAAGTGATCAAGACTTACCTGTGCATCCTAGAATGCGTCAGCAGTCCAAGGTTCATCAATAAAGCGTACAAAATGCATACCATTGAATTTGTATAGGCGTTGTGCATCAAATATGAAGTGCGACACAAGACATCGATCTCGCAACATATCAAGAGCCCATTCCCAAAGAGGATGGTAGTGCATATCAAACTCGTGCACCTTGTTTTGATACAGAACCGAAACTACATCAACTTGAAACTTGATAAATTACTTATGTTTTAGTTAAGTGCGTCTAATTGAACTTGTATTTGCCTACCGGTGTGAAGCATTGGGAAGCAGTTGACCACAACTCCTGGACTTCATCATGGTTTTGTAGTGTAAAGGTTTCATCCCTACGTGCGGAACGATGAATGAGACTAAGCAGATGATTGGTTTGCTCTGCGGTGAGTGCAGCTTCAAGGGCAATTTCTGCGACCTCAAAATTGAGCCATGTTTGGAATGGTTCCCATGGTGCATGATTCCAAGGTACTGAAGCTTCTGTGGGACGTGTGCGAGGAAAACAGCGAAATGATGAATGGTGGATGGAATCTGGCTGTGAGGATGATAATCAACCTTGATATCATCCAGCTGCGGTAATGGTTCCTGATCTGCAGGATTTGCATCATCGTAGTGGCTCTGAAGGCCAGGCAATGCCATATTAAAATCTGATATCAATGATTGATGACTTCGAGGCGTTGATCCTTGCATGTCTGACACATAAAATGATTGATCAGTTTTTGGGAATCCACTAAACTATGCAAACATACCAATATTATCTTCTGCAGCTTCATTCTCGTGATTGTGACGCTGCGTCGACCAAATTTTGATTGGATCAACTGACAATAGTATTATTCGAGTGATCAATGTGAAAGCAGATTATTAGTTGAGTGCTGACTTACCTGTAGATGACGCCGCACGTCGTTTGGACCAATTGTGAGCCTTGTGTTCTGTGCAGTTGTGAGGTGAGATATGTGACAAAATGAAAATGGTGTGCATACATACGTTTCTTCGCCGTCGCTTCTTTGATAATCACTTTGACCTCGTCATCTTCTTCTTTCTCCCGTGCTAGCTTCCTACATTTCTTTGCATGCGGCACCAGTCCACGAGCTCGTACTAGTATTCCACATATGTTACACTTCACGTTGTTTGATGTCCATTTAGGAGGCATCGAAATTGAAATCGATGGCACAAAAGGCGAGATGAGGACTTGCGGGGAATTTGTGAGCAGTGAGAAAGAGGCTTGACAACAGATTCTATCTAGTATGAGTGATACGCAATGTAGATCTTAGAAATACTGTGTACCTTTGATGCAGATGGTAGTGAGCAATAGAGTATATTATTAATTGAAACTCAGGTCAGGCTGTCTTAATCTCGACGACATTGTACTCAAATCGTAATCAAATCATAATGCTGATAAATATAGCATTATCATGCCTGCTGGAAATTTCCGACATGGTCAACAGAGTCAAAATTAGTTTCCATCAGACTGTGGATGTTTGAAATCCACCAACAGTGATGTCATTTTGTTTTTATAAAAAACACATCTTATTATGACTCATGCCACACATGTGGCTTCCCTTTCTTGACTCATGCCTCCTGCACATTGTATTCTTATCATTGGTCCATTCCAAATTTTCTTGGTCTCATTCCCATTTTGATAATCCAACTGGTCTTAGCCAAGCAGTTGATACAACAGAATCTACATCTGTTTGTGTGGGTTCAAAACCTGCTAAAGATAAAATTGCAAGTGATCATCAGAGTCAAAATCTGTTTCTCTTCAGACTGCACAGGTTTGAAACCTGCCAGTGATAAAATTCATTTTCTATGAAAACACACCTTGAAATTTGCTCATGGTCGGTTTGCTTGCAAGCTTATCACAGTTGTATTTAGCTAAGTGGCTGTCATAACAGAATCAAAATCTGTTTTCATCGGAGTGCAACAAGTTTGAAACTTGTTGAATGTCATCAGATTTGAAATCTGTTTCTCTTCAGCTGTGCAGGTTTGAAACCTGCCAACAACAATATTTTTATTCTATGAAATCCAAAATGGTGGAACTTGATGAATCACAAGTTAATGCAAAAGACACATATCATTATACAAATTACAAACCTGCTTAGTTCAAGAGAAATATATGTTGACTCTGGCAACCACTTGTTGAATAAGCACAATAAAGAATCTCAGCCTTGATAAATAGATTTGTATTTTTCCTCATTCCCCAGGTTATTAGAATCAAACTTGAAAGTTTGATGTGGTAATCTGCTCCTCTTCTTCTTCTTCTTGTTCTTCAACCAAGTCAAGACCTTTGGAAAGAATTATATTGTTCTTGTACTTATCCTTCCGAGTTTGCATCAAGACTTTGGTCATATATTGAACTCTGTGTCAAAAACACACTGTGAGATCCTTTCATTGTCAGTTTTCACTCATGGACCCACCGTGGTGGTCTGCTGTCAGCACTTTTTCAGGGCAATTGTTAGATAAACAGGTCTTGAAGTTAAGAGCCCCAGCAGGAGTCTGTGTCTTTTGCAATAAGAGCAGTATAAAAGAATCAACAGTGATCATGCTATTGAAAGAACTGACAAAATGCAGATAAATATACCTCGAGGACTCACTTCTGAATCATTGGGTTCATTGGAAGTAAATCTAATTGGTTTTAGCCAAGCAGTCGATACAACAGAATTTAAATCTGTCTGTGTGGGTTCAAAACCTGCTAAAGATGAAATTGTCAAGTGATCACCAGAGTCAAAATATGTTTCTCTTGAACAGCACAGGTTTGAAACCTGTTTTTTGTTTTTATTTTTATTCTATGAAAGCACACCTTGACATATGCTTATGGTCAGTCAGCTTGTCAGCTAATCAGAGGCAGGTTTGAGCAGGATAAAAAAGAATCACTTCTGAATGTATTTATTGGGAGTGCATCTAACTGGTCTTAGCCAAGCAGTTGATACAACAGAATCTAAATCTGTTTCTGTGGGTTCAAAACCTGCTAAAGATAAAATTGCAAGTGATCATCAGAGTCAAAATCTGTTTCTCTTGGACCTGTGTAGGTTTGAAACCTGCCAGTGGTACAATTCATTTTCTATGAAAACACACCTTGAAATTTGCTCATGGTCGGTTTGCTTGCAAGCCAATCACAGTTGTCTTTGGTCAAGTGGCTGTGATCACAGAATTGAAATCTATTTCCATTGGAGCGCAACAAGTTTGAAACTTGTGGGATGTCACATTTTTTCATATAAGAACATGTCTTGAATATTTGATCATAGACAGTATCTCAGATATTGATCTTCATTGATCTTGGTCAAGTTGTTGCCAGGTTCAAAATCTGTTTCTCTTGAGCTGTGCAGGTTTGAAACCTGCCAATAACAACATTTTTGTTTTATGAAATCACACCTTGATATTTCCTTATCAAGATCAATGTCTGAGATGCTGTCTATGAGCAGATATTTAAGACATGTTCTGATAGCCAAAATGCATTATTCAACAGATTTCAAAGTCCATAAAGAAATAATGTCAATGCCTATTTTTGTATAAAAAAAGAATTTATCATTGACAGGTTTCAAACCTGTCATGGTTCAAGAGAAACAGATTTTGAGTCTGGTGATCACTTGCAATTTCATCTTTAGCAGGTTTTGAACCTGCACAGAAACAGATTTAGATTCTGTTGTATCAACTGCTTGGCTAAGACCAGTTGGACGCACTTCCAATGAACTCATTCAAAAGTGAATCCTCAAGGCATATTTATTTGCATTTTGTCAGTTCTTTCAATACACATCATTATACAGATTACAGACCTGCTTAGTTTAAAAGAAATATATTTTGACTCTGGCAACCACCTGGGATTCACTTATGAATGAATTCATTGGGAGTGCATTCAACTGGTCTTAGCCAAGCAGTTGATACAACAGAATCTAAATCTGTTTCTGTGGGTTCAAAACCTGCTAAAGATCAAATTGCAAGTGACCATCAGAGTCAAAATCTGTTTCTCTTCAGACTGCGCAGGTTTCAAACCTGCCAATGATAACCTTTATTTTATTTTATGAAAATGCACCTTGACGGTTTGAAACTCATTGAATGCTGCATTTTTTCTATTAGAAGATGATGTCTTGAATATTGAATCATAGACACACTCTTAGACACTGATCTTCATTAGTCTTAGTCAAGTTGCCACCAGAGTCAAAATCTGTTTCTCTTGAACCATGCAGATCATAACATTTTCTCATAGATAGTTTTCTCCAAAACTCATTTACAGATGGTCTTAGCCACATCATTGAAACCTGTCAGATGACACACTTTTTTTCATATTGCAACATGCTCAATTGAATATGCTAACATTCATATTGTTGGCTCTCATATCCTCACCCTGCACACTTCATACATAGTATCCCTCCACTCAGTTTGCTTCCTTACAGCAGTCAGATCCTGATGGGTGTGAGGTCAAAATTCTGAGAGTGAGAAACAGTGTCCAATACCAAAGCGTTGGATCTGAGATTTTTGGGTTTTTGATTTAGAATAAAAAGAAAAATGTTATCATTGGTAGGTTTCAAACCTGCACAGTTCAAGAGAAACAGATTTTGACTCTGGTGATCACTTGATAATGACATCTTTAGCAGGTTTTGAACCCACACAGACAGATTTAGATTCTGTCGTATCAACTGCTTGACTAAGACCAGTGAGATGCACTTCCAATGGACCCATTCACAAGTGAATCCTCAAGGCAGTTCTTTCAATAGTATGATCACCATAATTGATTCTTAGGCCTGTTTATCTAGCAATTGTTCTGAAAAAGTGCTGATGGCAGACTACCACAGTGGGCCAATGATGTTTGTGATGTCTTTTGGATCAACAACTGGGTCATGAATGACAACCGACAATGGAAGAATCACATATGATTGGACTCAAGGAGGATGTTGGAAATTAATGTTAGAACTGACAAAATGCAGATAAACATACCTTGAGGATTCACTTCTGAATGGGCTCAAATAATGCTTTAGGGTTTCTATAGCTTTAATCCCACTGTCATGTGGTGCAAATGTGTTTTCCATCTCACCTCACCTAATTTGCTCGTAGACTAAACTCTAAAAGTTCAATATATGACTAAAGTCTTGATGCAAACTCAGAATGATAAGTACAAGAGCAATTTAATTTTATCCAAAGGTCTTGACTTGGTTGAAGAAGAAGAGCAGATTACACATCAAACTTTCAAGTTCGATGTGACGCTCGGACCCTAATGACCTGGAGAATGAGGAAAAACACACATCATCAAGGCTGAGATTCAAAAGAGCCATCCGGCCATTATTCACTTATGTATAAGGTTGAAGTGCACTGTATTTAAGGCCTTTCATCATCATGTTGCTCTCCTCTAGTATATAAGACCCTCAGGACTTCCTGGCTAAAAAGCTTGTTAATATTTGCCTGTATGGTTTTATTCTGAACCCCAAGCCAGATGCAGATCAAAACCTACTCAGAATTACTCAGCATTGATAGTAAAATTTTGCAATAACATATGAAGGATGCTTGCTGAATTCTGCTGCAAAACTAGTACAAAGCTGTCAGACATGGAAATTTGCAAGCAGGTTTTGAACCTGCATGATCAAGTAGCGGCTAGGTATAGATGAGGTTTATGGCTGAGGTATAACTAGGTATGGAATGCTAAGTTGGAAACTGAGAGCAGTTCGGATCCGTGCAGAGCCTAGGTAAAGGAACTTAGAGGCGTGTTTGCGGAGCGGTCAAGAACACACGGGTTCAAAGTGAGAATGAACAAAGCTTGTCAATTGAACAAAGGTACTAAGAACATCTAAGGTGACTCTGCAAAACAAAGGTAGCGTCCGAGGGAAGGGAAGTGATGTACTGTATGTAGTGCATGAGACTTTATCCATTGGCAGGTTTGAAATCTGCGCAGTCTAAAGAGAAACAGATTTTGACTCTGATGATCACTTGCAATTTTATCTTTAGCAGGTTTTGAACCCACAGAAACAGATTTAGATTCTGTTGTATCAACTGCTTGGCTAAGACCAGTTAGATGCACTCCCAATAAATACATTCAGAAGTGATTCTTTTTTATCCTGCTCAAACCTGCCTCTGATTAGCTGACAAGCTGACTGACCATAAGCATATGTCAAGGTGTGCTTTCATAGAATAAAAATAAAAACAAAAAACAGGTTTCAAACCTGTGCTGTTCAAGAGAAACATATTTTGACTCTGGTGATCACTTGACAATTTCATCTTTAGCAGGTTTTGAACCCACACAGACAGATTTAAATTCTGTTGTATCGACTGCTTGGCTAAAACCAATTAGATTTACTTCCAATGAACCCAATGATTCAGAAGTGAGTCCTCGAGGTATATTTATCTGCATTTTGTCAGTTCTTTCAATAGCATGATCACTGTTGATTCTTTTATACTGCTCTTATTGCAAAAGACACAGACTCCTGCTGGGGCTCTTAACTTCAAGACCTGTTTATCTAACAATTGCCCTGAAAAAGTGCTGACAGCAGACCACCACGGTGGGTCCATGAGTGAAAACTGACAATGAAAGGATCTCACAGTGTGTTTTTGACACAGAGTTCAATATATGACCAAAGTCTTGATGCAAACTCGGAAGGATAAGTACAAGAACAATATAATTCTTTCCAAAGGTCTTGACTTGGTTGAAGAACAAGAAGAAGAAGAAGAGGAGCAGATTACCACATCAAACTTTCAAGTTTGATTCTAATAACCTGGGGAATGAGGAAAAATACAAATCTATTTATCAAGGCTGAGATTCTTTATTGTGCTTATTCAACAAGTGGTTGCCAGAGTCAACATATATTTCTCTTGAACTAAGCAGGTTTGTAATTTGTATAATGATATGTGTCTTTTGCATTAACTTGTGATTCATCAAGTTCCACCATTTTGGATTTCATAGAATAAAAATATTGTTGTTGGCAGGTTTCAAACCTGCACAGCTGAAGAGAAACAGATTTCAAATCTGATGACATTCAACAAGTTTCAAACTTGTTGCACTCCGATGAAAACAGATTTTGATTCTGTTATGACAGCCACTTAGCTAAATACAACTGTGATAAGCTTGCAAGCAAACCGACCATGAGCAAATTTCAAGGTGTGTTTTCATAGAAAATGAATTTTATCACTGGCAGGTTTCAAACCTGTGCAGTCTGAAGAGAAACAGATTTTGACTCTGATGATCACTTGCAATTTTATCTTTAGCAGGTTTTGAACCCACACAAACAGATGTAGATTCTGTTGTATCAACTGCTTGGCTAAGACCAGTTGGATTATCAAAATGGGAATGAGACCAAGAAAATTTGGAATGGACCAATGATAAGAATACAATGTGCAGGAGGCATGAGTCAAGAAAGGGAAGCCACATGTGTGGCATGAGTCATAATAAGATGTGTTTTTTATAAAAACAAAATGACATCACTGTTGGTGGATTTCAAACATCCACAGTCTGATGGAAACTAATTTTGACTCTGTTGACCATGTCGGAAATTTCCAGCAGGCATGATAATGCTATATTTATCAGCATTATGATTTGATTACGATTTGAGTACAATGTCGTCGAGATTAAGACAGCCTGACCTGAGTTTCAATTAATAATATACTCTATTGCTCACTACCATCTGCATCAAAGGTACACAGTATTTCTAAGATCTACATTGCGTATCACTCATACTAGATAGAATCTGTTGTCAAGCCTCTTTCTCACTGCTCACAAATTCCCCGCAAGTCCTCATCTCGCCTTTTGTGCCATCGATTTCAATTTCGATGCCTCCTAAATGGACATCAAACAACGTGAAGTGTAACATATGTGGAATACTAGTACGAGCTCGTGGACTGGTGCCGCATGCAAAGAAATGTAGGAAGCTAGCACGGGAGAAAGAAGAAGATGACGAGGTCAAAGTGATTATCAAAGAAGCGACGGCGAAGAAACGTATGTATGCACACCATTTTCATTTTGTCACATATCTCACCTCACAACTGCACAGAACACAAGGCTCACAATTGGTCCAAACGACGTGCGGCGTCATCTACAGGTAAGTCAGCACTCAACTAATAATCTGCTTTCACATTGATCACTCGAATAATACTATTGTCAGTTGATCCAATCAAAATTTGGTCGACGCAGCGTCACAATCACGAGAATGAAGCTGCAGAAGATAATATTGGTATGTTTGCATAGTTTAGTGGATTCCCAAAAACTGATCAATCATTTTATGTGTCAGACATGCAAGGATCAACGCCTCGAAGTCATCAATCATTGATATCAGATTTTAATATGGCATTGCCTGGCCTTCAGAGCCACTACGATGATGCAAATCCTGCAGATCAGGAACCATTACCGCAGCTGGATGATATCAAGGTTGATTATCATCCTCACAGCCAGATTCCATCCACCATTCATCATTTCGCTGTTTTCCTCGCACACGTCCCACAGAAGCTTCAGTACCTTGGAATCATGCACCATGGGAACCATTCCAAACATGGCTCAATTTTGAGGTCGCAGAAATTGCCCTTGAAGCTGCACTCACCGCAGAGCAAACCAATCATCTGCTTAGTCTCATTCATCGTTCCGCACGTAGGGATGAAACCTTTACACTACAAAACCATGATGAAGTCCAGGAGTTGTGGTCAACTGCTTCCCAATGCTTCACACCGGTAGGCAAATACAAGTTCAATTAGACGCACTTAACTAAAACATAAGTAATTTATCAAGTTTCAAGTTGATGTAGTTTCGGTTCTGTATCAAAACAAGGTGCACGAGTTTGATATGCACTACCATCCTCTTTGGGAATGGGCTCTTGATATGTTGCGAGATCGATGTCTTGTGTCGCACTTCATATTTGATGCACAACGCCTATACAAATTCAATGGTATGCATTTTGTACGCTTTATTGATGAACCTTGGACTGCTGACGCATTCTAGGATGCACAGGTAAGTCTTGATCACTTTGTATGCCCAATGACATGCAACTGCGCATTGTGTAGTCACAACTTCCACCTGAGGCAAAGCCACTGGCTTTTATCTAAACCTGCCTGTCGAAATCTGGAATTGTACTGGTCTTGGTGGCGGCTGAATTGTAGGTTGGCTGCCTATTGTTAGTATTTAGTTTTACTTCATACACATGCTGATGTCAGAGCAGGTGCCAGAGGATCCAGAGCATGCAGGAAAAAGCAGCTTTGTGGACTTCAAGAATGCCGTTTGGCATGAGTCCTTTTTGAAACTTCTAGAGTCCGTCATACAGATCTCAAGGACAGGATATTTGTTTGAGTGTGGTGATGCCATCCAGCGCCTGCTTTGGCCCTTGATTTTGATTCTGAGTGCCGACTATGAAGAACAGTGAGTCTTACAACGCTCAAGTTTGCTGTGATATTGCTGATGCCATGTGATAGATGTGTAATGGCATTGATTTGTGGACTGAAAAGTAAATTTCCATGTCCGATCTGCTTGGTCCCTCAAGACGAGCAATCCGTCTTGTCTCATGAACTTCGATTACAGACAAGTGCTGAGTCTGAGGAGGCCCTTCAGTTGGCCCGTGCGAAGACATCCAAGAAGGAGAGGGAAAAATTACTCAAAACTTACTCGCTGCGTGATGTTGAAGTATGGTTTGCAAGGTCTTTTGTGTATATTACACTGACAGACATGATTTTCAGAATGTCTTCTGGAGAATGCTGCTCACTGACATTCACTGAGCACTCTCCTTTGATCGCATGCATGTGTATCATGGAGGGCTTTGGAGGCACCATTTATGGAGGGAGCTTCAGTTCTGGATACTTGAATTAGGGCGAGAAGCTGTTGTGCAGATGGATGCGAATTATGATGCTTTTCCACGGTGGTCTAACCTGACGCTCTTTTTGAAGGTAGTTGTGGTCAATTTCAATGATACTTCACATCACGAGGACATATTGAAGGTAAGCTGCAACTGAAGCTGAATTCTGTGCTAATGAGACTCAGATGGCTATCTTTGCGGCGCAAAGGATCCTCCGCCATTCACAGAGTAAGCTCGGCTATCTGCTTCTGCGATGCATACACCACTATATCAATCCCGACATTTACACTGGATTTGAGGTTCACACTGAAGATACAATTTCTGCAGGAAGACAAGCTCTGCAGAGATTTTCAGTGCTGATGGAGGCAAGTTATGCTTCGCAATACTTCCCGACCATTCACCTATGATCTGTGATTAGGAGTATATTGTCAAATCACAGCCTGTAACAGGCAAGGACTGGAATTTCCCCAAGAAACATGCAAGTTCGCATCTATTTGATGATATCTTAGCAAAAGGCACAACACAAAACTACAACACAAAACCAAACGAGAAGATGCACGGCCCTGTGAGGGACATCTACCGCAATCAAACAAATTTCAAGGACATTGCTACACAGGTTCGTGTGTCAACAGGACTGGATTAACATGAACTAATAAGAACTGGTTCAGATTCTTCGCTATGATCATTGGCTACTAACCTCAACATCAATGCGTTCTGAACTCGACGAGTTGGACAAGTACAATTGGAAAGCCAACCTCCCAACAACAGAAGATGCAGACACAGAAAATCCTGCAATTTCTGTGGCTCCAGCTCCCTGCACCCACATAAAGTTAGGCTTGGCGCAAGGTGACATCTCATTTGCAAGTCTCGAGCAGTCGCATGCAGATGACAGGGCCTTTGTTGGTTTTTGAATCAAACTCAACGCCTTCCTGAACACATTCTTCCCCAGTAATGACATTCCTTTACCAGATGACAAGCGCATTCATTTGCAGGCTGACAACAAGGTATGCCAACAACTCACCCTGCTAACTACTCGCTAAAATTGTGCTTCACAACATGATATTTAGATTACTGGATACAAATATCTGCAAGTCAACTACGAGTCTATGGTCAACTGGCGCCAGTGCAAAGACCTCCTTTGATGTAACCCCAAGTTCTTTGGATCTCCGCGATATGATTGTGTTATGGTTCAAACCAACAATCAACCATTTTTTGCTCGCCTTATCTTCATGTTTGGTTGCTCAATTGGTGAAACCAATCTTTCACTGGCGCTCATACATCCATATGATGTTGGAATTGGTGTCCGTAGAAAACATGATACTGACCTGGGACTATGGCATGTACGAGCCAAACCTCAGTCATCTCCCAAATTCATCTCTGTAAGGTCGATTATCCAAGGGGCTGCGCTTGCCAGCGATCCTGGGAAACAAGGTGATTACTTCGTCATTGACACAGTTGATGCAGACATGTTTCTTCGGCTCAAGTCTCTGCAAGCTTAACTTGCCTGACACTTTGGCGGCGGCCTGAGTAAAGAACTTATCTTTTTTGTGATCCTCGGCTTGCAATACGCACTATATTATTAGGTATAACATGCATTAAGTAGGTCATCAAGCTGCATAGTTGATATTACTGACACAAGTGTGTCATAACAGTGTTGCCTCATGTTTGGACATGCATCTTTCATCCAGCATTTCTTCTCAAGGTCACAGCTTCCATGATCCATTTCACTAATAATGACTTGTGTACTGAAGCGATTGCGTCAAATCGTATTATGTATGTTATTATTGAATCAACTCGTGTCTATCATTATCTCATTCACTAGTAATACCACAGATTGATTCTAAACTGTTTAGGGTTGCCCGGAAAATGTATATAAAGACCTCATGATTCATTTGTTCATTCAGCATCTGGGCTGCTCACACATCACACATTTCTCTCTTTGCATATAGCTCATGTTGGACTCTCCACTGGACTCTGATTCAAACCTCGACAATTCCGATAACACATTGTCATGGTCAGATTCAGGGCATGATTCAGATGATGATGCCCCACAGCCTGTGGCACCACCAAGCACCAATTTGTCTACAAAGCACCTTCAAGCGGTAGGCTCTTGTTTCTTTCGTCAACTCTCGTCCACTCCCTGACTCATTTTATCTAGTACATCAAGCAACTTCAGCTTGAGAAAGGAAAGTTGGAAGAGCATAACACAGCGCTGAATGCAACCAATGGTACACTAGCAGCGCAGCAGTTGAAACGTTGCAGGCGCTCACCAAATCAGACATCACCCGCTGCTGCATTGCCGGCCTCATCTACTGTGTCCTTACATTCATCTGCGCCACCTTCATCTACCACATCCTCGTGTTCATCTGCGCCACCTTCATCTGCGCCATTGACTACAGCGTCCATCATAATGTCTGAGACCATCATCGACAAACTAATCTTGGGTTTGGCCAAGAAGTATGCATTGACGATGGAGATGTTCCTGCCTGACAAGGTCATTTTTCAGACAGACTGCCCTGATCCTCTGGTTGATATAACAAGTCCGCAACATTATGCAAAGAAATTGACAGAGAAGGCTGCCCTTGTCACTGAGCTCTACGCCTCAATCGATCAAGAGTTGCATCCTCAAATGCGAACAAATTCATTCTTTAACTTGGTATGTAACTTAAAATTTTACATAGTTGTAAATGAGTTGACGATTTATGGAACAGTTTGCAACAGGCATGCAACAGGCACAATCATCATTCTTCAATGGTCTATGTACTGTTTCAGGTAGCATCTTCAACATGTCGCCTGAGTACTTTGTTGCCAGATATGACCGTGCTTCCATCCAGCAAATTACAGATATGATTGGATGGGAGGCGGGGAAGGGGAAAACCTTCGATGTTTTCAAAGCACCGGTACTGTACCCTGATAACATTGTTAACGAGAAAAAGATTTTCAGAAACTGGTTGATAATTACAAAGGTAAAATACACTGACTCAACCATAGGACAATTACTCATATCTTTCTTTGAAAGGCTATCAAGGTTTCAGTGTGCGGCAAGATGTCATTTAAAGATAAAAAAGATATTTGATTTAATCATTGTTCCCCAAGGGGCGTGGTGGCCAGCCTACCTATGCGAAGATTTGGAAACTCAACAGCTGCACTCCTGGTATGATTTCATTTGGTGTGACTTCTGTATGTATTGATGTCAATGATTCAGAGGCACTACCTATGACTGATATCATTGTAGGACTTGGAGTCCTTGTAGCCTTGTAGAGGCCATTTTTGCAGTGTCCCTTAGGTCCTCACATAGCGCGCATTATAGCTAATGCGGCACACACCATTTCCGTTATCGGCCGATGGCCACGACTCACGTGCGCACTTCGGCTCGCATCGGCTTCCCTTCAGCTCCGTCGTGCGTCCTTCCCATGTCATATCCATGTCCTCCGCCAGTCCATTGGTGCGTACTTATCTCAATCTGCATTAGACTGACTTTATTTCTGACACTATCTCATTTATATTTTCATTACTTGCGTTATGGACCCTGTTTCCATACTACCGCTACCTACTCGGCTCCAAACAGTGCTTCGTGCGCTCTCATATATATGTACTTAGTACTTATGAATCTTCATGTATCTATCTTTTCCCGCATCAAAATTATCACCAACTTGCACGCAACACTTGGACTGAAAATCTGAAACCTTCGGCATACTACCGCACGCGCGCCTCCTATGGCCGCATTAACGCTCACATTTTACTTATCATTTCTATCGACAAACATTCTCCTCGCTCCGCCGCCGCGCTGCATCACTTACGCACTTGCAAAACCTTCGCATTTATCATTTAGCTCGGCCGTGCGCTTCCGCGCCCCACCAAACTCTCGGCTATACGGCCACACATCGTAATGCGCTTTTCGGCGGTGTAGGGATTCATTTCTGGCTGGGCTTGCAGAGACTGTTTTTACCTTAGTGTTATGTTTGCACTTTTGTAGCTTACATAATCAAGTTATCTTTTCACCAGTTACCAGTATGAGTCTGTCTGAGTCTTGAGCAGTTTCTATCATATTTCCTCTTCTCTGAGCCTTGAGCCTGGTCCAGAAACCCTTTAGGGTCGAATAGCAGCTAGGTTCTGCAAGACCCAACATTGTTCAGACTCACCATCTGAATTGTTGTACCTTCAACGTTGAAGGTTCAACGATACAGCGAGGCACGAACAATGCTCCTGGTTGTATCTATAAATGTTGTAAGGTCGCGCGTTGCCTAGTCTGCTATACTTGAGACGACAAGTGCGTTCGACCCTAAAGGGGAAGTGAGTGCAGCAAGGATCTAGAGGTATGCGCTGAAAGCGCTACTGGTTGGCCAATGCGAAGCGCGGGAAAGCGCAGGTGCGCGCGAGGCGCGAGAATGCGCGAAGCGCGGGAATGCGCGCGCGTGTATGCAGAATCAAGAGAGAGTAAGAGTGAGTTTGCTCAGGTGATGATATGATGTAAGACAAGAGAAGAGAGATGCGAGGTGTAAACAAATAGATTTCTACTATGTTCTGCTAGGTAAATAGTGGGTAGTAACCAGTAAGTCCTCTGTCGTTCTGGTGGGAGAGTAAGTCAGTAAGTATGTATGTACTGCTGGCGCTTAAGTATGGCGCCTAAGCGCTGTCATGCGGAGCCGAAGCGCTACCGAGTAAGGTATGTAAAGATATATGTAAGTAAGGGTCCATGATAAAAATAAAGATGGAACAATATGCAAATGTGAGAAATGGAAATATACGCACTAGGGAACTTGGTGGACAGTGGATGGATGCTTCTGGATGGCTGGCGCTATAGGGCGCTACAGCGCGGGAAAGCGCGCGCGCATATACATCGTGAAGCGCGGGAAAGGTACGCGCGCATGGCGCGCGTTGCGCGGGAAAGCTGCGCCTCATATAGAGATAGCTGCAGGTAGCACACAGAGTGATGCTACAAGTTCGTGCCATGTACTCCCCAGTGAAAACTGCCATATTGCACAATGAGAGGCATGAGTCTCTACAGCGGCTCACTCGCGCTCGCATCACATTGGCGCAAATTCTCGCGCTCTTTCATCCTCAGTTACCCTTACTAGTTTCCAAGTTTCCCCTCACATTTTATTCAGAGGAATCATTCTCAGTAGCAATCCCCTCGGGCCGAATCTATACTTGCATCCAGAGGTCTATTTGAGTTTTACCCCACTTCACCCTTTCTCACCCTTTCACCCCTTCTCATCTAGCTATCATTCCTCACACACATCATATTCGGTAGATAATCTTCATGCTATCCCCAGATCAAGAATTCTCCGGGGATGGTATTGGAGCCATTTCTTCGATCCCTTACCACACTGTCTTCCGTGCCGTGAAAAGATTCTTCATCGTCAAGTGGACCCATGAACGCATCAAAGCCATCATGGGACAAATCAACACTTATGTCTTCAACAATGTTGCTCAGGCAGAGGAGGACTATACCTCAGGCCAGCCTGAAGACATGGTTGATTGTGTCATGGCAGCATTGGACAATTCAGATAGCAGTTCGGATGAAGACCCCATTGGCCCTGACAGCCTTCATGTGCACTATCCTACCATTGTTGAACCAAGTTCTTTGACTGCATCCTCAGGCTCAAATACTGTTGCGGTAGCTTCTCCCCTGCAACATGAACCCCCCCTGCCTTCTGATGTCATGCCATCAATCTCAACTCAGGGTGCGGTACTCAATCCTGGATCAAGTGCTACAAGTTCAGAGTCTGCCTTAGCTGCTACAGTGACAGCAGCACCCCATCTGAAGCCAGCTATTGAAAGCTCAGTGGCTGTCACTATGAAGTCCAACAAGGGACGTCGGGGAAAAGATCAGAAGGCTGATTTAAATGGGCAAGACGTTCGCTGTTCCTCTTGTCATACCGTCTCTACTAAATAGTTCTCGTCACTTTATTGACGCATCTTGAGCTTTCAGACTAGCCTCCTACCTATTACCATACCAGTGTAGGTATACAACACAGAGTGGGGCTATACAAAGATGGCTCCAAACTGATATCTTTATGTTGTGGTCTTGCACTGCCTATCTGCTATACTTGCGGACAAGTGCATTCGACCCAGGGGTCTGCAGTCTGGGAATAGTTTTGGGGGTCAGTGGGTGATGTGAGGTCAATAATCTGAGCACGGCAACAATGTCCGAAGGTATCATTACGATGTCCGATGCAAAAGCGTTGGGTCCGATGTTTTTCAGGTTTCGGGTTATCGGGTTTGGGTTATCGGAAACTAATAGTAACGCTATAGTGAGCAATGTGTGCAATAATAACAATGATGGATACAGACGGTGAAGGAACGATGATATTCGCAATGTCAACTAAGAACTACAAAATATCGGGTTTGACCCCTAAGCGTCGGAGATGATTCTCCTCTACTCGGATGATGATGATGCTATGGGTAGTCCAATATTTAAGTAGATACATAGAAATCCGGAACCCTATAGGCGAAAGTAGTAGCGCAATATTTCAGGTCCGATGTCCTATGTAATAAGACATGATGTACTGCGGACTATGGGAATACATGTAATAACGTGGTCGACAATGTTAGCAATGTGAAAACAAATAACTATGCACCTAGTGGGGCTAGCGCAATGAGACTGGACATAGGTAGGACAAGTGCGCGTGATGTCCGATTGGCCGATGCGAAACCCGATGCCCGATGTCTGATGTCCGATGTTTTCGGGTTTGGTACGTATTGAGTTGGATATGATAGGCAATGATTTGGGCAATGATTAGCATTCACATGCATCGGAAAATAGACCTCTACGAGGCCACAAGGACTCCAAGTCCTACACCGACTCCCATGTACCAGTCAGCGCTCGAGTTCAATTGATATAGGTCGCAAGCAATCACTATTCCATTTGGTCGTTATCATGCAGATCTTAACCCTTTTTTTCTGACTGTGGCTCTCGAGACGTTACTCTTGAGGTGTCTGACAGAAGCAGCACTGAATGACTGGACAGCGAGGACGAAGCAGCCACTTCAAAGTCTGGATGATCAATTGGCAGTTTAGATGCCTCAAGAACTTCGGGGGCAGGATGATATTGGGGGTTATGGAAGGTTGCTTTTTGGCCGCGGCTAATGAAGTGGTCAGCAGGCAGATAATGTTGAGAACTAAAATGACACACAGGACATAGGTTATTGTTGGCTTCTCCTCAAACACTGGTGCTGGAGTTGGTGTGCTTTCATGCTCAAGTGCTTCTCTGATGGGTAATTCGTCATCGCTTAGCAGTCTTTTCATGTCCGCTTTCATGCTCGCATCAAAATCCTGGAGTATTGTGGCGCAGGGCATATTCTAATTGCGCGAAATTAACCAGATGGAGCGCGAGATGTGTCAGTATCTGGAGTGGGAACGCCGAGGGAGTTTGAGGACATGGTCAAGAAGGATTTCGTATTAGGTCAAGGTCCTTACCCGACTTACACTCTCCCTTCCCCCTCAAAGACAACCCCTCCTCCTACCACAAATCCCTTTCCGTCTCCTCCAGCTGCTTTGGCGCCCATGCCTTCATATGGCCATCGTTATCCTTCGCCACCAAAGCCTGCTTTTCCTCCATACTCTGCCAGACCCTGCCATCAGCCACACCTTCATACTTCCTACCTCCTTCAGTCACTTTCAGCAGATTGCACTGCTCATTATCGGGTACATCATGGCCATCATTAGAATTTTCAATCCTAGCCACTTACACACTCGTTTTCCGAGTCACCTATCTCAATCTCTTATTTTACTATCTTGCTCTCACACTTACTTGCAGCCATCAGCGATCCATCGGATGAGATCAAAGTGATTGGGCACAGTTGTTAGCGTCTCCAATAACATCCTTAACGCTTGTACTTACAGCGCCTGACAGTCTATTAAGTGTTAGTACAGTGGGCACTACATCATGATGACAAACTGATCACATGATCATACATTTACATGGCAATGGGATGACTCATGTGTCGTTATGATACTCTCTCTGTAACCACCATCTCTACTTGAGTTCATTCTCCTGTTAAACCTTACTTTCGACATGCACCTCCAACTTACTATTTCTTCACTTATCTTCAGAATGAGCTGATGCCAGGGCAACTCAGAATCAACGAGGTGTGGAGGGATGGTCAGTGAAATGCATCGACATTTGGCTTCATTTGCGTGTTTGACAGTGAGGTGAGTCTTTTTTCATTCATTCACACCCTTGTCTGATTATACATGAGCACCCTTTCCACCACCCATATCTGCGACTGTCTCACTTTCATCGTCCAATGACTGCAATGTCACTGTCTCGCTCACTACACCTGCCTTATTACCCGTGTCTGACAGGCCAAAGACAAAACCCATCTGTTGTGGTCTCATGCAATACCCTTCAATGTTTGGTCCAAACTCCCTTGTCCACAGGCAACTCTATCACAATGTGTATTGCTTGATGTGAGTCACTGGCTTTTTTTTTTTGTTGGCTCTTTCTGACCGAATGCCAAATGCAGTCAATCATTGAGTGCAAGCCATGAACAATTTGCGAAACACATGGCAAGCAAGATGACCTCTTGCCTGGATGGTGCCATACAGCATTTTCAGTTGGTCCTGGGGCCAATGTCCGCTTTCCTTACCTCGTGTTTCTTACGCCATGTACAGTCTTTCTGCCATAGTGGAAATGTCATCTTTTTTCACAGAATTCATATTTAGTGTGATAGTAATGCTCATTGAATCCTTAATAACGAGATCATCACGATTCAGTCAGAATGTTGTTAGAATGAAATTGTCACGACATTGAGATGAAAATATGACTTAGTTGTGATGCCATTAAAATGATAATAAAATCTGAAATGCTCATCACATCCTTCTTATGAGACTGGTCAGAATGTCGTCAAAATACAATTGTTATGGCGTGGAGATGACACTGTGACTTGATTGTGATACCATTAAAATTTACATGAAAATAACATGATAATGCTTATTAATATGTTGACTGTTTGATCATAATCTATTATAATTATAATTGGGCCGTGTCATTAGGCCATTTTAATCCATCAGAATGCCATAAAAGAAGTTCTGACACACTTGACTAAGACCAGTAAAGATCTGTGTCTGAGAAACTATTCATGGGCATTATTGGGAGAGCATCTCACTGATCTTAGCCAAGCGGTTAATGCAACAGAATCTAAATCTGTCTGCGCAGGTTCAAAACCTGCTGAAGATGAATTTGCCATCTGATCATCAGAGTCAAAAATCTGTTTCTCTTGGACTGCGCAGGTTTGAAACCTGCCAGTGATACAATTCATTTTCTATGAAAACACACCTTGAAATTTGCTCATGGTTGGTTTGCTGGCAAGCCAATCACAGTTGTCTTTGGTCAAGTGGCTGTGATCACAGAATTGAAATCTGTTTCCATTGGAGCACAACAAGTTTGAACCTTGCGGGATGTCATATTTTTTCTGTAAGAACATATCTTGAATGTTTGCTCATAGATGGTATCTCAGACATTGATCTTTATTGATCTTGGTCAAGTTGTTGCCAGATTCAAAATTTGTGTCTCTTGAACTGTGCAGGTTTGAAACCTGCCACTAACAACATTTTTGTTCTATGAAATCACACCTTGACATTTCCTTATCAAGATCAATGTCTGAGATGCTGTCCATGAGCAGATATTTAAGACATGTTCTAATAGCAAAAATGCACCATTTGACAGATTTCAAACACCATGAGGAAATGTCAAGACATATTTTTGTAGAAAAAAAGAATTTATCATTGACAGGTTTCAAACCTGTCATGGTTCAAGAGAAACATGATTTTGAGTCTGGTGATCACTTGCAATTTCATCTTTAGCAGGTTTTGAACCCACACAGACAGATTTAGATTCTGTTGTATCAACTGCTTGGCTAAGACCAGTTGGATGCACTTCCAATGAACTCGTTCAAAAGTGAATTCTCATGGCACATTTATTTGCATGTTGTCAGTTCTTTCAATACACATCATTATACAGATTACAGACCTGCTTAGTTTAAGAGAAATATATTTTGACTCTGGCAACCACTTGAATAAGCACAATAAAGAATATCAGCCTTGATAAATTTGTATTTTTTCTACTTCCCCAGGTCATTAGGATCAAACTTGAAGGTTTGATGTGTAACCTGCTCTTCTTTTTCTTCAACCAAGTCAAGACCTTTAGAAAGAATTGGATTGTTCCTTTACTTATCCCTCCAAGTTTGCGTCAAGACTTTGGTCATGAATCAAAATAGTGTTGTTAGGTTTTTTATTTGTTATGTGCATGGGAAGGTCTGAATTTGCCATACTGGTGCAGGAAGGCAGGGGTCTGAGTGAGGATAATGAATGATGCAAAGTCAGCTAATGCTCAAAGGGATTTGCAATCGACAAAGACAGACCTTCTGAGTGTGTAGAGTTTAAAAAGTATACAGACCAAAGGATCTAAAAGGGAGCACTAATCCAGACCACAAAAGAGTGAAGCTTACAATAAAAGTGGATTCTGAAGGAATCAAACCACACACTTAAAGCTGAACAATGTATGAGTAAAAGTGATATACCTCAAACATTTGCTCGTAGATGGTTGTCTCAAAAACTCATTATAACCAGTCTTAGCCAAGTGGTTGTTGCAACAGAATTGAAGTCTGTTTCTCTTGAACTGTGCATGCTTGAAATATGCTGAGTGATACATGTTTTTGACCTGCTCGGTACAGGAAAATCAGATTTTGACTTTGATGACTCCTGAACTAGCAACAATGAAGATCAAAGTCTAAGAAACTGTCTATGAGCAAATATTCAATTGAGCATGTTGCAGCATGAAAAATAAATGCATCATTTGACTGATTTCAAATCTGTAGCCTTTGATTGAAACATATTTTGAATCTATTGTGGCAATGATATGGAAAAGAGTATCTATGATGGGTTTTGGAGAAAACTATCCATGAGAAAATATCAGATTGTAATTGCATAGAATAAAAATACAATCATCGGCAGGTTTCAAATCTGCAAAGTCCAAGAGACACAGATTTTAACTCTGGTGACAACTTGACTAAGACCAATGAAGATCAATGTCTGAGATACTGTCTATGAGAAAATATTCAAGACATGTTCTCATAGAAAAAATGTGACATTCAATGGGTTTCAAACCTGTTGCATTCCAATAGAAACAGATTTTGATTCTGTCATGACAACCACTCAGCCAAATACAACTTTGATCAGCTTGCAAGCGAACCGACCATCAGCATATTTCAAGGTGTGATTTCATATTAAAAAAATGTCACAACTGGCGGGTTTGAAACCTGCATGGTCCAAGAGAAACAGATTTTGACTCTGGTGATCACTCGACAATGACATCTTTAGCAGGTTTTGAACCCACGCAGACAGATTTATATTCCGTTGTATTAACTGCTCAGCTAAGACTAGTTAGATGCATCCCTAATGGACCCATTCATAAGTGAATCCTCAAGGCATATTTATCTGCATTCTGTCAGTTCTTTTAATAATATGATTGCCGCAATTGATTTTTTTAAATTCTACTCTTATCGCAAAAGACATTAGACTTCTTTTGGGCCTCTACTTCAAGACCTATTTATTCAGCAATTGCTCCAAAAATGTGCTGATGGCAGACCACCATGGTGGTCTGATGATGTAATGTTAGAACTGACAAAATGCAGATAAACATACCTTGAGGATTCACTTCTGAATGGGCTCATTGGGAGTGTATCTAACTGGTCTTATAGCTAAGCAGTTAATACGACAGAATCTAAATCTGTTTGTGTGGGTTCAAAACCTGCTAAAGATAAAATCTGCAAGTGAACATCAGAGTCAAAATCTGTTTCTCTTGGACTACACAGGTTTGAAACCTGCTAATGATAACATTTTCATTTTATGAAAAAATCAGACCTTGACATTTTCTCATGAATCATATGTGTTTTTCCTGGGTGAACACACCTTGACATTGACTCATGTGTACTTTCATGTTGTAGCTCATGCTCCCAAACATCTGCTTTATACGATGTTTGTGAATTCACTTTTCTGTGTCCAAGAACATCTCTGAGCTCCATGTGACATGGCTCCACATCCTGAGCACAAATGCCTCAAATCATGCTTTAGGGTTTCTATAGCTTTCATCCCGCTGCCATGCAGTACAAATGTGTGTTCCATATTTGATCCACAAGGCTTCGTTGATGCATGTTGATGAGCGTCTTGATGATCGATTGCAGTAAAATCAGGTCTTATGGCTTCATTACAATCTCCATTAAACATTCTTTTAGAATAGGATTGCAAAAACTGAGACCAGAGTCGAGTACTAAAGATGAGAAAGGTTTAAACACGAGGTGGGCGGAAGCAAGAAGCATGCATCACCTCACCTAATTTGCTCATAGACTCAACTCTAGGT